GGGGAGAGGGAGAGGGGAATGGTGGGAGGGAAAGGGGAGGAGGGGGGTGAGGGAGAGGAGAGGGGGAGAGGGAGAGAGGAGGAGGAGAATGGTGGGAGGGAAAGGGGAGGAGGGGGGTGAGGGAGAGGGAGAGGGAGAAGAGAATGGTGGGAGGGAGAGGGGAGGGGGAGGGAGGGAGAGGGTAGGAGGGGGGAGAAGGAGAGGAGAGGGAAAGTGTCACAGGAAGAAAAGGGAAGGAAAAAAGGATGAAGGGAAAAGAAGAGAAAAGGAAGGTGATAGTAGAATGAAGGACGAAAGGAAGGAGAGAAGAAAGGAGACGTAAAGGAAGACGGGAGAAGTGGGAAGGAGAGGAGAAGAGATAACGTAGGGAAACGGGAAGGGAAGAGAGGGAAGAATGGAGAAGGAAGAAGGAAGAAGTTGAAAGGAAAGAGAAATGAAGAAGGAAGAAGAAGGAAGGGAAAGGAGAGAAGAAGGAGAGGAAGAGAGATACGAGAAGAGAGGAGTGTAGAGAAGAAAAACAAGGGAAATGAGAGAAATTGAAAGAAAGAAGAAATGAGAAAGGAAGGAGAAGAAAAGAGGGTATAGGGGAGAGGGGAGAAGAAGGAGAGGAAGAGGGATGCAAGAAGAGAGGAGGGAAGAGGAGCAAAGAAAAACAAGGGAGATGAGAGGGAAACTAAAAGAAAGGAGAAAGAAAAGGGAAGGAAGAAAGGTGAAGAGGAGAAGAAAAGAGGGCATAGGGGAGAGGAGAGAAGAAGGAGAGGAAAAGAGGAGGGTAGAGGAGAGAAGAATGGAGGAAGAGAGATGGGAGAAGAAAGGAGGGTGGAGGGAAGAAGAAAAGAGGCAGGATGGGAAATGGGAGAGATGGAAAGGAAGGAGGGAAGGAAAAGAGAAGAATGAAGGGTGGAAGGGAGATGGGAAAGGTTGAAAGAAGGGATGGAAAAGGAAGGGGAGAGGGGAGAAGAAAGGAAGAGAGGAAGAGAGAGGGAAGAAAAAAAGAGCTAAGGGGAAGAGGAGAAAAAAAGAAGGGAAGGCGAAGAGGAGAAGCAAGGAAGAGAGGAATAGAGAGGGAAGGGGAATAGGAGAAGAAAGAAGGGCGGGGGGGAGGAGGAGATGGGATAGGAGCCCCCCCCCCCCCCTCCCGTGACCTGGGCTGACCTCCGCCCTCGTTCTCTCCCTGCCTGTGGCTACTCGAGGCTCAGTATTTCTTTTCTCTGTATCTTTTTCTCTCTTTCCTCCCTTCCTACCATTTTCTTTTCTTTATTTCCCTTTTCTCTCTTTCTTTCTTTCTTTCTTGTCTTTCTCTTTTCTTTGTTTCGATTTTCTTTCTTTCTTTGTCTTTCTCTTTTCTTCATTTCCTTTTTCTTTCTTTCTTTCTTCCTTTTTCTTTTGTGGTTCCCCGAGGTTGATTTTTGCTTGATTCCCTGTTTCTTTCTTTCTTATCTCTCTTTCTTTCTTTCATTCTTTCTTCTTTTTTTTAGCAATTCGAGGTTGATTTTTCTCTCTAGATCTTTCTCTCTTTCTTTCTTCTCTTCCTTCCTTCTTTCCTCTTTCCTTTCTTTCTTCTCTCTTCTTCTCTCTCTTTCTTCTCTCTTCTTTCTTTCTTCTTTCTTCTTTCTTTTGGTGTAAAGAAGGAATGAGGGCGTCTTTGTTTACGCCTCTTTTGTTTATTTGCTTTTATTGTTACTCTTTTTTTGCGCCAAAGAATTATTGTTGTCCGTCTTTTTTTTTTTTTTTTTTTTTTTTTTTTTTGGGGGGGGGGGGGTAGATAGAGATGGAGAGGGAGGGAGAGAGAGGAAGGAGGGAAGGAAGAAAGGAAGGAAAGAGAGAGAGAGAGACAGACAGACAGACAGAGACAACTATGCGAAATACACTAAAATGAAATATGAAAACAGACGAAAAGATAAACAAAACAAACATAGAAGCAGTCATGATAAATAAAACAAAACATAGAAACAGATACAGACACAAGAGAGAGACAAACAGTCATACAGAGACAGACAGGCAGACAGACAGACAGACAAACAAACTGACTGAATGACTAACTGACTGACAGACAAACAGAGAAGAGAGAAGGAAAGAGAGGAAAGGAAGGTGACTGACAGACCCCCTACCCCCCCACCCCACCCCCCCACCCCCCCATCACGAGCTTGGCATCACCCCTTATCAAAACCATGGCCAGCCACTCACTTTATGTATCATGCACAGGGTGTGTGTTTGACCTCCGCGTTGACCTGACATGAGGGAGGGGCAACTTAGGGCGAGGGAAAAGGGGGGGTGAGGGGGAGGGGAGAGGGGCAACTTGGGGGCGAGGGAAAGAGGAGGGGGGAGGGGGGAGGGGGGAGGGGCAACTTGGGGCGAGGGAAAAGGGGGGGGAGGGGGGAGGGGTAACTTGGGGGCGAGGGAAAGAGGGGGGGTGAGGGGGGAGGGAGGAGAGAGGCAACTTGGGCGCGAGGGAAAAGGGGTTGGGGGGGGAGGGGGAGGGAGGGGTGAGGAAAGACAGATGGGGGGGGGTGGATGGAGAGGTGGAGGGGCCATATGGGGGGAGATGGAAGGAGATTGGGGGAGAGGGGAATGTGGAGGAAGTGGGAGCGAGGGAAGGGGGTTGGGGGTGAGGGGAAGGAGGAGAGGGAGAAGTGGAGGGGCGAGGAAAGGGGGTTGGAGGGGAGGGGAAGGAGGAGGGAAAGATGGAGGGGTGAGGAAAGGGTGTTGGAGTAGAGAGGAATGTGGGGGGGGGGGTGAGGGATGAAGAAAAAGGGGTTGGGGGAAGGTGGAGGGAAAGGAGGAGGGGTGAGAAGAGGGGGTTGGGGGAGGGGTGAAGGAAGAGGAGGGGGGATTGGGGTGAGGGAAAGGTGGAGGGAAACATTGAATTAAGGGGGGTTGGGGGGAGGGGGGTAGATGGAGGAAGAGAGAATAAGGAAAGGGGTTTAGAGAGGGGAAGGTGAAGTGGGGGGGGGGGTGAAGAGGGAGAAGAGAGGGCGTGGGCGGTAGTGAAGCCCTGAATAAAGAGAGTCAACTGATATTAATTATTTTGCGGTCATTAGTTGCAGCTGTTATATGCAGTAACATTATTGTTGTTTATTATTTTCTACGTTGCTATTTTTTATTTCTTTATAATTGATCGGGTGATTATGATGACATATATATTATATATATATATTATACACACACACACACACACACACATACATACACACATACACACACATATATATAAATATATATATATATATATATATATATATATATATATATATATATATATATATATATATATATATATATATATATATATATACACATACATAATCTGGCTACTTGTATTTTTTATCTGTTTTTTTATATATCTGATAATACCATCTTCTTTATTATTGTAAGTATCATCATATTCATCATTATTGTTATTATTATGAAGGAAATCATTATAATTATCGTTACTATTATTTTTGTGGATTTTATGGCATTATTATCATTATTGATAAAAAGATACTATCATTGTTATTGTTATTGTCATTAGAATTATTATTGCTATTATATAACTAATGATTATTGTTAGTATTCTTATAATTAACATTATTGTTATCGTTACTATATATGTATAGTTATTATTGTGACATTCAAGTTGTTATCAATTTCGTTATCATTATTGTTATATTTTCGCAAAGGATGGTGAGGAAAATAATGATAATAGCAGAAGTATCATTAATGGTGATAATTATGATAATGATAATGGCAGTGATGATGATGCTAATGCTAATGAAGTCGAAGATAATTTGATAAATGGTAATTATGATAATTAGCGATTGTAACTGTTGAATTATTACTTATGGTTATTGCTAATGATGCTGTTAATAATTGTAATGATGATAGTACTTAGGCTTGTAATAACAATACAGTGGTGATAACGATCATAAGAATGGTAATAATGATTATTGTTGTTGTTGTTAATTTCTTGTTATTGTTGCTGTTCTTATTCTTATTCATATTCTTATCCATATCCTTAGCATTATTTTTTATTATTGTTGTTGTGTTTATTATCATTAATGGAGCAATTACCATTGTAATATTCGACATCGTCATTTATACCATCATCATTATCATCCTCATCGTCATCGTTATCATCGTCATCGTCATCCGCATCATCATCATCATTATCATCATAATCAATATCATCATCATCATCATCATCATCAATATCATCATAATCAATATCATCATCATCATCATCATCATCAATATCATCATAATCAATATCATCATCATCATCAATATCATTACCTGTTGGTATTATAATTGTTTTCCTAGATAGAGTGCCACTGAATTAACATTTTTTCTTTTTTTATCATCTCCATCACTATCACTCATCAAACACTCAAGCAACCAGTGTGAGAACAAGGTAAACAAGAAAATAAAGTAATATAAAAAGAAAACAAACAAGAAAATTAAGTGATATGAAAACAAACAAACAAGAAAATTAAGTAATATGAAAACAAAGCAAATAAGAAAATTAAGTAATAAAAAGAAAGCAAACAAGAAAATTAAGTAACATGAAAAACAAACAAACAAGAAAAATAAGTGATATTAAAACAAAGCAAACAAGAAAATTAAATAATATAAAAAGAAAACAAACAAGAAAATTAAGTAATATGAAAACAAACAAACAAGATAATTAAGTGATATTAAAACAAAGCAAACAAGAAAATAAAGTAATATAAAAAGAAAACAAACAAGAAAATTAAGTAATATGAAAACAAACAAATAAACAAAACATACATTTCAAAAAAGCAATATTGGAAACAAGAAAATCAACATTCCTGAATATGAGTTTCGCAAAGGACAAAAATCCTTTCGTAAGCGACGGAGAGAGAGAGAAAGAGAAAGAGAGAGATAGAAAAAAAAGAAGAAGAAAATGGAAGACGAAAATTATAATTGCATTAATAAGAAAACATGATGGTGGTCGTCGGTCGATAAGGGTCACGGCAGCGTGGAATCACCGAGGGATAATGGCCCTTGTGAACGCCGCAACGCCCTCTCCAGAGACGCAAGGGAGACTCTCGCAAACTGTGGGTGGAATTAATTGTGATTTTGATTAGCTAACGATCGTATATGGGGGGTGGGGGGTGGGGTGGGGAGAAAGAAGAAGAAAAAAATAAATAAACAGGAAAAAAATAAAAAAGAGGAATGAAGGATAGAGATACATTGTCACTTTCTATTTGGTTTTGAAGAACGATTGTTATCGATGGCTGGCGTTGGAGTTGTATAAAGTGGTGGGGGAGGGGGTGGGAAGGAGGGGGGGAGGGTGAGGGTGGAAGGGAGGGAGGGAGGGAGGGTGAGGGAATTGGGATTGTAGAAGAGGGATGGAGGGAGGGAGGGTGGAAGGGAGGGAGGGAGGGTGGAAGGGAAGGGAGGAAGGGTGGAAGGAAGGGAGGGAGGGCGAGGGAATTCGGATTGTAGAAAAGGGAGGGAAGGAGCGTGGAAGGGAAAGGAAGGGAAGGAAAATAGGATTAAGTGGAAGGAGGGAGGGTAAGGAAAATGAGAGAGGCAGGGAGGGAAGGAGGGAGGGTAAGGGAAATAGGACAGAAGCAAGTGAGGGAGGGAAGGAGGGCGAGGAAAGAAAGGATAGGAGGGAAGGAGTGAAAATAAGGGAAACTGGACAGGAGGGAGGGAGGATAAGGGAAATAAGATAGGACCGAGTGAGGGAGGGAGGTAAGGGGAATGGGATAGGAGGGGAGGAGGGGCGAAGGACGAAGGGGATAGGATAGGAGTATCGAAAAGAAAGAGAGAGAGAAAGAGAGGCAAGGGGAGGAGGAACAAATAGAGAGAGAGGAAAAAGGAACACAGAAAAAAAGTATAAGATAGAAAGAAAAAATCATAATAAGATATAATGAGAGATAAATGAAAAAGAGATGGAGGAAGAGAGAACAGGCACAGATGATGAGAAACGAGAGATAAAGAGAATAAAAGAGGAGTAAAGAGAACGAAAAATGAAGATACAGAGTTTTAAATATCATAACCACGAGGAAGTGAATATATTAATGACAAAGTTGATATTATTGATAGAATTAAGGCTGAAAATGTCATTATTTAAGTAAGCATGATTATAGAAATGAACAGAAAATTAACAGAGAATAAAGATAATAGATATTATCAAATTGGTGATGATTATGTTAATTGAAATGGTGAAATCATCTTAGTCATCATTACCATAATCAAAGTGAAGTGAAAATAGCATACTTCCTGTATACAATATATATGGATAATGATGTTTGTGATAAGGATTACAATGATAAGAAAATAATTATTATTATGGGGATATTACTAGTAATAATGATTAAGGTAATTATGATAGCAACACATGCAGTAATGACATTTATCCTCATAATATGATGCTAATGAAGTACATTTTTTCACCTGTGATATATATTGATAAAAGTAACGTAACGAAAGAGAATTGATATTGAAAGTAATAATATGATATATGCATATGTAAAACTGTAGCTATAGTGATGAAGATATTGATAATGATATGAACACGAAAAAAAATGATAAAACATGCATAGAAAGGTACAGTAAAGGAAAGAGATAGTGCTAATTATGATAACCATAGTGATAACAGGGAGAACATGAACTTGTAGAATGTTATTAAGAACATTATATTACTCGTAATAACAATAATCATAAGAGTGATAATAATATGACTTAAAGTAATGATGTATATTAAAGTGATGATAATGATGGTAATAAAACTGATAACAACATTACTAGTCGCTTATAACTTTACTATTGCTAATGATAATGATGTCGATGCAGTACATTGATAATAATGATAATATCAATACCGAGTTATTTTATACATTCATATGTCTGAACAAACAAAAGAAAACGTGAAAAAACTAAAATTGAAGTAGTATGGTCTTTAAAACAGCTTAATAGATAGAGTAAGATTGAAGATTGAATTATGAAATTATAATTAAATATTGGTGGTGTTATTACTGTTATTATTGTTATTGTTATTACCATATTAAAATCATCATTGTTACTATTATCATTATTATTAATTATATTATCATCATTATTATCATCATTATTATTATCATTATCCTTATCAATATTATCATTATTTTCATTGTCATTATTATAATTATTTTCATTGTCATTATTATCATTATTTATATTATCTTTATTATTAAAATAATAATAACAATTGATATTGTTATTGTTAGTATTAGTATTAGTATTAATGATAATAATAGTATTATCATCATCGTCACTGTCATCGTCATCATCATCGTCATCTTTATCATCATTATCAATAATCATCAATCATCAGTATTGATATTGTGTATATTATCATTATTGTTGTTATCATTATCATCATTGTCTTTCTATTATCAGTATCAGTAGCGTTAATATTGTTATTGTTTTGTTATTATTATTATTGTTATTATTATTATTACTACTACTATTATTATTATCATAGTGTTATTATCATTATTATTATCATTATTATTATTGCTATTGTTGTTATTGTTTTCGTTTTGATATCATTATTGTTATTGCTAT